CACACAGCTAGCTGTCAGAGTGAACAGAACCTCTGACACTCCTGTTTATACCAGTCAGCCTGGGCTACTTGATTGAAACAGATTAATAGACCAAACAGGGAACTCATATTCTATGACGTACACATGGCTGACTTCATCACAATCAACATCCCACCCCAATGAGTCCGAGGAAATAGGCCGGTACACTTTTTTTGTAGCTCCTCCTGGGGCATCTTAGTGCCAGGTCAGGTTCCTCCAATTCTGCCTCTGATACAGGCAGCCAATAACACACAACAGCTCGCCTTTTGAGTCTGCAGTATCCCAGAAGAAATTCATTTTCCTCTTCAGGTGGCAAAGGTATTGAGGTGGCGACATCTGTCATGCCAATCTCAAATTCTGAGATATCTTCAATGCTTAATGAAGAGGGAGAACTCATGGGTTCTGGAACAGTTGGAAAGGCAGTCAAGCAGCTAGGCTTATTTTGCTCCTGCATTGTTTATGAAATTGCAGCTTTCACATGGTCTACGTACTTGTTCAGGACTGTTGCCCCGGCTGAACTTTATACATCACTGAACTTAATCTTGCTTCAACCATGCCTCTTCCCCATGGAGGGCCATTCCTGTGGTTTCTACACCAAACTTTGTCCCATGAAGTAAATTGTTTCTCTCGTTTAGTAGGGTCATGTGTCCGGGATTGGTGTTCCTGATGCCCTTTCACCCTCCACAACCCCCAAGGTCCAGCAAGATCAGATTTAACCTGTCGCAGATTATTCTCTCCATCAGTAACTGAGCTGGAGCTATTCCTGTAGTTGCAAGAGGGGTAGTCCTATAATCAAATAGGAACTGGGACAGTTTGGTATCTTGTGAAGCTTCAAGCTGTTGCTTTAAGCCTGCTTTCAAAGTTTGGCCTGCTCTTTCTGCCAGACCATTAGATGAATGATGGTATGGAATTGTCCTTATATGATGCATACCATTCAACTTTAGGAAATACTCAAATTCCCTGCTAGTAAATGATGGCCTGTTACCTGTGTTCAACACTTCTAGGAGTCCAAAGGTTTTACAAATGATGTGGATAGTTATTCTATCATCATCCCAGCATTTGACGAATGAGCTCTAAGTACATCCAGCCATTGAGTGGGTGTTCACAATCATTAAGAACACTGAGTCCATGAAAGGACCTGCACAGTCAACATTCAACCATGTCCAGGGTTTCCCAGGCCATTCCCTCGAATATGGAGGAGCTGCTGGTGGAAATTTTTGTCCTTATTAGCACTCTGGCACTGTCCCACCAACGCAGCTATGTCTGCATCCAATTCTGGCCACCGGACATACCTTCTCACCAACATCTTCATTTTGGATGACTCTGATGGAGTTCAGCACTATCTGACAGTGATCTTTGCTCGGGTTAATCACTCTTGCTCCCGATAATAATACATCCTCCTCTGATCTGGTCTCTTCGGGTCCAAAAAGGTTTCAGCTCTGGTTGTGACAGCCCATTGGTTTCCCTATCATCACCAGCTGTTTCAATTTTGCCAGGACAGGATCTTTCTACGTCCAAAGTCTGATATCATTATCTGTGATTGGAAGTGTGCCCAGGAAGTTTATAAATAATACAAACTCTTCAGGTGGCAATACTGCCGGAGGGGTGGATCTGCCAATGGGAGGCGGTTCAATGTATCTGCATTACCTAATTGGCCTGCCGGACAGTGTTCCAACTTGTAATTACATGCATTTAGTAACAGTGTACACTGCTGAATTTGGTCTGAAGGAATGGGCTCACTGTCTTACCCTGTTTACGCAGACCTAAAAGGGATTTTTACTCCGTTACTATTACAAATTTATTTCTATAAACATATTAGTGGAACTTTCTGACTCCAAAATATAACTGCCATATTTTCCTTCTCTTTCTGGGGGTATTTACGTTCTGCATTAGCCAAAGTCCTGGATGCATATGCTATTTGGCATTTGCTCTCCATTGGGCCACCTCTGAGCTAATACTACCCTGATGCGATATGGGCAGGCATCGCTTGTCAATACCAGATCTTGCTTGGGATCAGGGTGTGCCAATGCCTTAGAGGATGATACTGTTTCTTCACTTTCCTGAAAACTATGGCTTGGCCATGCAACCATTTCCAAGGTTGACCCTTTTTTAAGAGTTGATGCAAAGGTGCCAGGATGGAGGCCAGATTATATACGAAATTTCCATAATAGTTCACCAATTCAAGAAAATGCCTAGGGAGCCGGGGTACCTTTCATAGCCCTTACTTCATCTTGAATTAGTGTAACCCGGTCTTGTCGACTCTGTAGCCCAGTTAGGTCACTTGAGGTACCTGGTACACACATTTTTCCCTTCTAAGGCATGGCATATTCCTTCCTGGAAGAAAAGTCCAAGGACTATATCCAAGTTCTCTAAGTGCTCCTTATTGGTCTTTGTTGTTATTAGCAGGCCATCTAGATAAATGGCGACCTGGGGTAGACCTTGTAAAACGTTCTCCATCATCCGCTGAAAAATTGTACAGGCTGACCACAGCCCAGATGACAGTCTCATATATTGGTACAAACCCTTATGGATATTAATTATAGCATACTTCTGGGAATCCTCATCAAACCGTAATTACAGGTGCACATGGCTTGTGTCCAGCTTTGTGAAGGACAGACCCCTGCCAGCTTTCGTATAAATCCTCAATGTGAGGGTTTGGGTATTTATCCAGCTGTGAAAAGTGGTTTATTATTTGTTTAAATTTCCACAAAAGTGAACCGACCTGTTAGGCTTCACAATTGATATGATCAGTGCTGCCCATTCCACAAACAGGAAAGGTTTCATGATTCCTGATTGTTTCAGTCTTCTGATATCTGTTTCTACTCTTGGCAAATGGCACTGGACAAGCCAGGCAGAATTGTGGAATTGTTTCCTAGTCAACATGCAAGATGGCCTTGGCTCCTTTGGTAGTCCTTAGACCTACCTGAAAAATGTCTGGGTATTTAAATGGGACAGAGTGGCCATTGAACCAGACATTTATTTTGATTGTTTCTGATTTGGATTTTGCTAAGCAATTTAACCATTCCAAACCAGATAGGTAGCAATTAACATCAACAATTCCCCAGTGTTCTCTTCTATCTGAAGACTTGGTCCTTCTCATCCAATTGTGGGATTCCCACCCCTGAAATCTCATAGAATCCCTACAGTGCGGAAACAGGCCATTCGGCCCAACACGTCCACACCGTTCCTCTGAACGGCATCCCACCCAGACTCATTCCCCTAATTTTCCATGTCTAACCCACCATGCAGGTGGATTTTCCAGGGTGTTCAATCTCCTGGATATCGTCTTATCAATTCTCTTATTCCATTTAGGTTAAGTAGGACTCTTGCTGTGTTGAGTCCACAAAGCAAAAATGGCTTGCCAACCCAGATCCTGAAGATAACTTTAACCATTTGACTGAGGCTTGGCTTCATTTTAGGGTTTGGCAGTGGGCTGATCTACAGTTCCTCTGTCAAGGATATATCCTGAGTGAGGCCTTGTAATTACCTTCCCTCGAGTGGTGTTTCCCAAGCTCAGTGAGACTGGAAAGGGTATCCACTTCCATCGGAATACCCTGCAAGTCATATGCTCCTCCTACCATATTTTCCAATGATAAAGCTAGTTGTAGTGTCTGTTGGATGTCCAGTTAAGCTCTAGCTAGTAGGTACTTTGCATGGTTACATCATTAATCCCACTTAGCAAAGAGTCTCTCAGCATCTCATTAAGGGTGAAATCAAAGTCACATGCCTCTGCAAGTCATATTAACCTCATGAAAAATCCCGACATAGATTCCTCTGGTTATTGATTTTCCAGGTAAAACATATAGTGCCTCAGAATTAGAGGAGGCTTGGAGTCATACCATTCCTTAACTAACTCCATCAACTTTTGAAAGGTTTAACTTTCTGGTGCTCTGGGAAAGTTAGGCTCCTAATGAAAAAGATGCAGGTGCACAAGCAGTCAGCAGAATTACTCATTGCTCTTTATCTGCCATAATGTAGTTTGCCCGGAAAAAAATAACGCATTCTTTCTGCATACTGGACCCAGTCTTCGATGGCAGGATCAAACAAGTCAGGCTTCCTGAATAAACAGCTTGATGTCAGAAATGCTTACCCCAACTCAAAGACAAAATCTGCAACTGAATGTCTTCAGGACTGTGTCCCGCTCTCATTGCTACTGAAATAACTCTAATGGGGCCAGTATCCCATCACCAAGTCACCCTTAACTTATATGTGGAAAGTCCTTAACACTGATTTAGCTTCCTTAGAGCCAGCTCTCAGAGTGAACAGAACCTCTGACACTCCTGTTTATATCAGTCAGCCAGGGCTCCCTGATTGGACCAGATTAACAGCTGCAAGCAGGAAACTCATTTTCTATGATGTCCACCTGGCTGACCTCATTACAATCACTACAGTTCAGGAATAGGTAACCGCAAAGCCCTGAGGGCACAATCCTCGAAGCACTTTTCCTGATCCCCATAAACTTTCCAAGGTTCTCTGATGTGTGCAAATTTTCTTGACCATATTTGCTGAATGACAATTTTGAGCAGCTTCAATTTGGCTTCTTTCTTGATGGGGCCTCAACCATTTGGATCTAAATTGATGCAAACTTTAAAAATTGGGTTGAAACCCTTAGATGCAGTTTAAAGAAAAAAAGATGGATTTTCTTTGCGTACAGAGTGCCTTTGCAGGCTTGCTCAGAGTCAGACATCTATTTTTATCCTTTTGGTAGTCATGTTGGCAAAAACACATTTCTTGTCATCAAATGAGGGCACCTCTATTCTTACAATAGCACTTAAAGTACAAAACATCGCATGTTATGTGACCTCCTATGTCTGCTACATATTATTGCAATGATTCAAAAGCAAATTCAATACAACCTTTTTGTCCTCGGGCTTAACAAATGTTAATGATCAGCCACAACAGGTAATTTGATCATCCCAAGTATCGTTCAGAATAGCAGGCAAACAGAAATAAAATCAGATGGTGGAATGTTGAGGTAATACCTGGTCCATTCCAGTCTTCAAGCTCCAAATTGGAACGGCCTGGCTTTTCTCCATCTGACTGAGCTGTTTCCCTAATGCCATTTTCATCACCTAAAAAAACAAAACACAATGTTCAAAGTTAACATCTATAAGTTCACAGTGAAAGCTTCCCCTCCAGAAGAAAAGAATTAAATACTATTGAACTAAAGAATTGTACAATAGAAGAGGCCTTTTGGCCCATTGAGTTTGCAATGACAAAACTACTTTAAATCTATGCAAGTCCTACTTTCCAGAACTAGGCCTATAGACTTTAATCTAATGAAATGTTAAGTGTTCATCCAAGTACTTTATAAAGGTTGCAAGGTTTCCTATCTTCACTACCCTCCACTTAATGTCTTCCTGATTCCCACCAGCATCTGGGTGGAAAACATTTTCCTCAAATTTCCCCCAAGTCCTTTACCTTAAATTATGCCCCCTTGTTATTGGCCTTTCAACTAAAGGGAACAACCCTATCAATGCCTCTCGTAACCTTAAACACCTTTCTCAGGTCTCCCATCAGCCTTCTCTTCTCTAAAGGAAACAATCGGAGCCTATCCAGCCTCTCTTCATAGCTGAAATGCTCCATCCCAGGCAACAAACTGGTGAATCTCCTTTGCATCTTCTCTAGTACAATCACATCCTTCTTATACTGTGGAGACCAGAACTACGCACAGTATTCCAGCTGTTGCCCAAACAGTGTTACGTACAGCTCCAGTATATCCTGTGATAACTTAAGACCTCCTTCCTCACTGGCAAACATTCAGTAAATCATCTGCAAGCTTGATTATCATCTCCCCCACATTCTCATCTATTTTATTATGGTGTAGTTAGATAGAACAATCAGCAATCAAGTTTTTGAGGTACTTATTCATCTACGTACCTTTATTTTGTATGCATTCAGGTTCTAATTGTCTTTTAATGTGGCAGAAGTTGAACATAGATAGCAAGAAGTCAAAACTGTAGTTAGTCCATAAATTAGTTCCTTTTTGTTCAAGGGAGCAAATATTTACAGAAGGAGGAAAGGAAAATTTGAAAAGTTAACTTTAACTGGTGAGAGAGTTAGTCATTATTGTTAGCAGAATCCATTACAGTGTAATGTTGTAGTTAATTTCTAGTTGTTTTTGCATGAATCTATTTATAAGTTTAGATAGAAAAATAAATGTTGCTGGAAAAGCTCAGCAAGTCTGGCAGCATCTGTGAAGAGAAATCAGAGTTAACGTTTTGTGTCCGGTGACCCTTCCTCAGAACATAAATTTAGATGGTAGGACAATGAAAGGTTTAAAATTGATTTATTTATACAGTAAAAACAAATGTCAATTGGTAAATGTAAGCTTTTAGTCTAATTTTTGGATAGATGTGATAGTTGCAGCAACCTCTGGTACATCAGTAGTGCTTATTATTAGCAGAAATGGGAGCATTGTGATTATGTTACCAGACTAGTTTCCAGAAGCCTGAACTAACGATCCAGAAACACACAGTAGAATGAATTAATTGAAGAAATATGGAAAATAAAAGCTCGTATCAGTAATAGCAATCATGAACTTACTGGATTACTGAAAAAACCCTATCTGGTCAATTCACTTTAAAATAGGAATCTTCTATCTTAACCCAGTCAGGCCTATAATGTGTTTTCAGGCTCACAACAATATAGTTGCCTCTTAACAGCACTCTGAAGTTCCACTACATTACAATAAAAACAACTACCATTGATCCAAAGGGCAGTCCGTAAGAAATATTCTTGTAAGAAATATTCACATTCCATGAATTTTAAAAAACCTCAATCAAGCCCTGAAAATGTGTGTACAATCATTTGTGGCCCACTCTCTTTTTATCAGAACTTTTGCTGCTTTGGATGTAGGATGCAAAATGCTGCCAGAACTGGAAATGAGTGCTATACTCTCACCTGCTGCTAAATAGAAGAACTTAAACAATTTTTTTTGGAGATTGTATTTTCCTGGAATCAATATGTTAAGTGAAGTAGCTCTACTGAAAGAACTGTAATAGCTTTAATAAACTATTGTTACACTGCTTTTTAATCCCTTTTTCCTGTGCGGAAATGCGTTCAATAAGCAACAAACCATTTAAAATCAGGAACTTGTAAAATCATGCTCATAAACTCATATCCAAACACTTAAGTATTTCTAAGAGTGACCCTTCAGTACAATGATCCTTATAATTAATCTCTGCTCTTGTAGATGAAAAACTTTTACTTTGCTTGAAGACTATTAAATGGTATGTATTGATGGTGTGCATACCTCATCTTCTCATTTGTAACAGAGGACAGGGTGCTGGACCAACTGTTAATGGGAATTTATGTTCAGTACCAATTTATACTCCAGAGCCTGGAAGCTACTACAAGCAGCAAGACTGCCGCTAGTGCAATTAAACTACTATGAGCCAGCAAGTTATCCCACACTTATTATCTGTTTCCAAATACCGTAAAAATGGTCAGAGTCAAATTGTATCTGTATGTTAAATCTTTGAAGTTACATTTTGGGCATTAGACACATTTTGTCATTATAACAGTTTGCTAAGGACATGAGATTCCATCTTCCAAAGATCATGCATGACACGCGCAATGAGCTGTTAGCCCTCACTAAGAATCAGTGTCATTGCAAAAGCTGAACGGTGAACTACAGTGTATTTGACCTTCTGAGTTTCTTGGACCATATTCATATTAAATTCAGTAGCACTACAAATAAGTCTATAAGATATAGAAACAGAATTAGGCTTTTCAGCCTACTGAGCCTGCTCTGCCATTCGATCATGGCTGGTAGGTTTTTCAACTTCATTCTCCTGCCTTCTCCCCACCAACCTTGATCTCCCTTACCAATCAAGAACCCTTCCAGCTCTGTCCTAAATACCTTCAAAGACCTGGCCTCCACAGTCATCTGCAGAAATGAGTTCCTCAGGTAACCACACTCCAGCTTAAGAAATTCCTTCTCATCTCAGGTCTAAAAGGTTGTGTCTTCATTCGGAGGCTGTGCCCCCACATCCTAAACATTCCTACTAATGGAAACATCTCCTCCACGTCCACGGTATCCAGACTTCTCAGTATTCTGTATTTTAAACTCCATCGAATACAGATCCAACGTCCTCAACTGCTCCTCATATGACAAGACCTTCATCCCCAGGTCCTGTAAATTCTTGTAAACCTCCTCCGATTCCCTCCAATGCCAGCATATCCTTCCTTACATACGGGACCCAACACTGCTCACGATATTCCAAATACAGTCTGGCCAGAAGCATATACAGCATCAACAGTACATCTCTTTTCTTGTTTTCTAACCTGCTTGAAATGAATATCAACATTGCATTTGCTTCCTAACTGCCAATTGAACCTTAAGAAAATCCTGAACTAGAACTCCCAAGTCCCTTTGTGCTTCAAATTTCTGAAGTCTTTCCCCATTTAGTAAGTAGTATACACCTCTATTTTTCCTACTAAGTTGTATAACATTGTATTCCTTCTGCTACTTCTTTGCCCACTCTTCTAGCCTATCCAAGTCCTTCTGCAGCGTCCCTGCCTCCTCAATACTACCTGTCCCTGTCCCTACATCTCTTTGTGTCAGCTGTAAACTTTGCAACAATGCTCTCAATTCCTTCATCCAGATCGTTAATGTATAATGTGATTAGTTCCAACATGAAGCCCTCAGAACTCAATTAGTCACTGGCTGCTATCCTGAAAAAGACCCCTTTATGCCTACTCTCTGCCTTCTTTCAGTCAACCAATCATCTATCCATTCCAGTACCTTGCCCCTAACACTGTATTATCTTATTCTGGATTGGCACCAGAGGAGAACTCTGCAGCAAGGCAACTAACATGGCAATGGAGTGTGGCAGTGGCTGGGGCCAGTGCAAGCCCGAATGATGACTGGCAGCGAAGGATGGTGGCTGTGGCAAAAGACGGTGGTGGCTGCGGTTGGTTGCAGTGAGATGACTGCCGGTAGAAGTGGCAGTCATCAATAAGGCAGTGGCGGCAAGAGGGCAGCAGCAGGTGTCCTTTGCAAAGGATGGCAGCAGCTACAGTCAGCAGTGAAGTGGCGGTTGGGGCCAAAGCCTTGTGAGCAGCAGTGAAGCTTGGCGTGCCTGATGGAAGTCAACAGTGGCAGTCAGCAGTCGGCGGCTGGTGAGCATGGGTGCGTCTTAGTCCAGCCTGGGTGAATGCATGTCCTGCAGAGGGGAGAGTGAGCCCTCTTGGAGAAAGCCCAGCTTGGAGCATTTGCAGGCCCATGGCTTAAGAAAGGACTGTAATGTTTGACTTTTTAAACTTTATTCCTTTATTTTTTTCACATTTATATTAAGTAAACTGTAGTGCTGAACTTTTAAAATTTATTTATTTCTTTTTCTACTTCTAAAACTAGGATTTTGTACCTAGGTACTTTGTGCCTAAGATGGCACCATGTGTGGTGAAATTGTACACTTTTCATTGTACTCTTGTACTCCATACTTGAGTATGCGTGACAATAAAACCTAAACTTAAATTTAAAATCTAAAACTATTCAGCTGCCTCCTGTGCAACACCTTGTCAAAAGCAATCTGGGAATCCAAAAAGATCATGTCCACTAGCACTCCTTTGTCAGGCAATGCAAGCAATGGAAGAAGTCCAGCTGTACGTCAGGTGTAGTGCTAAGGTCTGTTAGTATACCAAAAAGCAAATGGAAACAATATGCCCGAGGATCCCAAGGCTTAGCAGAATGGCTGTCTGGAACTCCGCAATCTCCTGCAGAAAAATATCAGGATTTGGTATAATGACAATCAATCACAGACTTCAGATTTTTATGCATCAAATCCTTTGCAAGCTAGCCATAATACATTTACTGTATCAACCAGTTTATGACTAAAAGATGTACAAAAGATGATCAACAACATTCACCATATCAAAGATTATGTGAGCAAGTGCAACGGATTGACTGACTTTCCTAGTGTATGATCAAATGCACCCATTGCCGTTCAGACTCTTGTGATTTTACAGTTGTCATTTTATGGCCAGTTAGCATGCAAGAACCTGAATAGAATCATGGAGATCATTCCTTTTGGGGAACTTTCGTTTGGTTTTACCATTATCTGGCCCA